TACATGCAACTAATGTGTTCTTTGAAAAAAAAAGTTTGCTGAGAACTCTCTCCTCAACTCTATCACAATATATAATTTTTACTGTTATTTGTGATAGATGGTGTCATTTTATAAATGACTGTACGGTGATCATTGTGGTCATTTAAGAATATAATCTTTATAATAAAAGTATTCCGTGTTTTGTTTTATTAATAAAAATGTCATTGTTATTATATGCAAGTAACAGCCAGCATTTTAAAACCTATGACTGGTCATTGATAACATAAAATGATTATAAGAATTTCACGTTAAAAGTCAAAGAGGAGATGGCTAATGCATGCTGGGCTTAATACCTAGGTGGTGGGTTGATAGGTGCATGGGCCCAGACTCCCCTTTTCTCTGTGATTGGAGTGGATGCCAACAGTGAGGAGAAGCCAGACAGTGGGAGCAGCACTTCTGAGCCTGTGGGGGTGAGGGGGACCTCCCTGGGCCCTCCAGAGTTCAGCGATGCCTGGGTCTGCAGCCGTGGCGGCTGCGCCCAGGAGGATGGGGCTCCTGCCTGCTCCAGCTACCACGAGCACAGGGATGCCCAGCTCACCGACGGGTCAACCCCCAAGAACATTTATAATTTCTCTAGAATGGCATAACCCTTCTGAAAGCTGACGGGGACCTTGGGAATCTTCTTCCAGAGGGCCCTGGTCAGGGATGTTGGCCTGGTTGTGAGACAGACAACCTCCTACCCTCCCTGTGCCTCCTGGGCCAAGATATGGAAACCTCACCACGATGCCCTGCCAGTGGCAACAGGCCAAGGACGGGGTCCGCTTGGGAGGTGCAAGTGGTTCTGGGGCTCCCAGGAGAATCCAGAACTTCCTGCAGACAGATGCCCCTTTTTCCTCACTTGTGGTCCAACTGATATACTGGATGGTGAGATAAACCGTACATTTTAATTTTTACATATTTTTTTCATTACATGTAAAATGTATATTTAAACAATCAGACACTGGATTTGAAGGGAAAAGTATTTGAGGTTCATTCTTTTCTTTCAAATGTCATTTAGTCCTGTGTATGAACAGATTCGCCCTATGTGTAGCAACTATGTAGATAAAAAAGTTATGAAATTGTTTTTGGTGTTACAATGCTATATTAAAAACATTAAAATTCACCAATCGAACAATCTATGCAAGGGTATTTTTTTTTTTTTTGTTATCGTTGTTAAAGTCCTGAAATACAGAGATAAGAGCCGAATGACTAGCCACTGGTAGAGAAACAGTCTTCACAGGGCCAGTATTTTTCTGCCCCATCTCATCTGGCTGCTGATCAACACGTGTCGTTTAGTACAAACAAGCACACAAAAACAGCAATATGCTTGTGTGCCTACCCCAGATGCTTTATGTGCAATAATGGAATGAGGAAGGGGAAGATAAGAGAATGGAGAAAAGGATACTGTACCAGTCAGAACGTGGAGTCAGAACGTGGTGAAATCACATGGTGGTTTTCTACACGAGAATCTCTGCTGGAGCTGTAGGAAGAAGTTCTGGGGGAAGGAGCAGGTGTGTTCTTAGAAGACCCTCCTGTCTGCTGCTGGACACATCACCTGTTTATTTGTCCTCCATTTCCCGCTTTGCAGGTGTGTCCGTTTCACTGAGTAACCAGTCCTAAAATCCACATCTGATTTGCTTCACGGCCAAGCCCTGCCATTCGCCATAGGCTTCCACCCCTTCATTCAGTGATGTGTGCTTCTTCCCCTTCAACTGCACCCCAGACCCATCCTAGCCTCCACCTTCAAATTCACAGAATTGTTGTTCTGTCTTGACTCAAACGTTTTTCCTGCCGCAGCAGAGCACTGAAAGTCTCTTAAGTTACAGCTTCACAACAGAAGTCCAAAGTCTGCACAGAACCAGCAAATCTGCAGCCACAGGAGCAGCAGCATGATGAGGCAGCAGAGCTTTATTCCATGTTTTCATCACCATTCCTACAACAGCAGTGGCAGCAGCAACAACGGCTACTACTTCTAATTGTGGTAAAAATACTTAGAATAATGATGCATAATAATAATTGTAGTTGTCGACATTTTTGGTTTATATATGATTATTTGTTATGTTCTACAATTTACTTTTAGTAATATACACATAACTTTTGTCATCAACATCAGGACCCTAAAACACCACACCTGGTGAATGAATGTCACCTGTGGACCTAAGGCCTTCACCTGCTGGTGCAGGCGCTCTCACCACTCCATCTCCAGAGGATCTGGTCCACCTTCTGAGCCAATACAGTAGCCCTGACACTCACATGATCTATTTGAGGTCTTGGAAAACAACCTTCCCTTGTTAAAAATCAAAGGATGGGCCGGGCGTGGTGGCTCACGCCTGTCATCCCAGCACTTTGAGAGGCTGACGCGGGCTGATCACAAGGTCAGGAGATGGAGACCATCCTGGCTAACATGATGAAACCGCATCTCTACTAAAAATACAAAAAACTTAGCCAGGCGTGGTGGCGGCGCCTGTGGTCCCAGCTACTCGGGAGGCTGAGGCAGGAGAATGGCGTGAACCCGGGAGGCAGAGCTTGCAGTGAGACAAGATCGCGCCACTGCACTCCAGCCTGGGCGACTAGAGTGAGACTCTGTCTCAAAAAAAAAAAAAAAAAAAAAAAAAATCAAAGGATGGCTTCAAATTGTATTCAGCTGTTTTGTTAAATGGCAGCAGGAAGAAATTTTTCTCAGCAGCTCTATTTTTATGTCACTTGCTTTCAGAGTAAGAGGTTATTTCAGACACAGTGGTTTGATTTAGTCTTTGTTGAAAATAGCCTACAAACAACAAAAAGGGATGAATAGAATTTGTGTTCATGTGGAGGGCATCATCTCTGCTTTTAAATAAAAAATATATCTCGAACGTTGGTTTCCTAAATTAGGAAATAAACCATTTCCTCAAATTATTTCAAGTTGTTCCAAGATGCTTCAGAAGCATTCTCTGGAGGCAACTGTTCCAAATGGTGAAGAGTACTAGATGGATCAGAATCTCACAGGATTCTTACTTCTATTGCAGAAGATTACTTTCCAGGACTTCAAAGGTTTAGAGAAGCTGCTTGATTTGTGTGGCTTACAGAGGTGCATGGGCTTTGGAGTCAGGAAAAGTTAATCCTGAGGCCCAGCCCAGCCTCTTAGTAGCTGTGAGGCTTTGGACAATTTCCTTGTCTTGGAAAGTTATGTAAACCTCATCTGCAAGAAAAGGCATGACACTGATTGCAAAAATGACAGCAATTCTTCATCCCTTCCTGTATTTATGCCCTTTGTGATATGCTTTTATAGCTGCTTTCATTGAGAGGCAGAATCTCTTTCCCAAACCTTGAATCTCACTGGCCTGATTTGCCCTGGCCAGTAGAAAGCTGTGAATATGACCACGTGCCAGTTTGGGGCCGAGGCACAAAAGTTCTTGGATGCTTCTGCTTTTTATTTCAGAACCCTGTCATCTCCACGATAACAAGTCCCTGTCAGCCTGCTAGAGGATGAGATACTATAGGGGAGAAACTGAAGTGCCACAGTTGACAGGCAGCTCACCCTCAGAAGCAGCATTGCCTGGTCAAGCAGCAGCTGACCACACGTGCCTGAAAGGGCCTGGCTGAGACCAAAAGAATGGCTCACCTGAGCCCAGCCTAGAAGGTGGACCAGCTCAATCTAATAAGTTTTGGGGAGTTTTACTATGAAGCAATAGGTAATATGTACACCTAGCGCAGACAGGATGCCAGGATTCAGTGACATGTTGATGACAAGTTACGAGGCAAACACATGGCACCCTGTATGCACTGATTTCCTTTTCCCTTTATGTAAAGTTGGATCTCTGGTTAGACAGTGTTGAGCCATACAGAAGTGCATGCAGACATGCATGCATGTGATCAGTGCTTCAACTCACACACTTAAATTCCACACCACAGGAGGAAACAGAAAACCACAGCCTGCCCGTTAGGGCCAAAGCCAAATTGCAAACTGAGAAGTTTATCTTGAAGGTGTTCCCTCCACATCTAAAGTCCTGAGGTTAAGGCTGTGGACAAATCTGAAGACATGGGTTTTCTTCTCCCGGGGCGCCTCGTCTTTTTTCACTGTCTTATCTATAGAAGAGGCAGGGCCCCTGGCAAGAGCAGGTGGGAAATCGTAGACTCCCTCTAGATACTTCTTTATTGCAGCCTACTTCTCTCTCTGGGCACTGTCTCTGCCACCCTTAGGCCTGCGGAGAGATGTTAGCAGAAAGAGGGCGTTCCCTCACCTCTAGCAGAAAAGAGGGGTTCGGGCCCTTCACTGCCTGAGGTCAGGGGAGCCAGAGCCCTCAAAACTGCACTTCAGTGTGACAGTCACTGCCCACAGGGGTCTACTTAGCACCTAGAATGTGGCTGGTCTGAATTGGTACGTGCTGGAAGTTTAAAACGCAGAGTGACTTTGAAAGATTTAGTACCAAAAAACAAAGAACGACAAAAAATCCTTCATTAATATTATATTGATTATATATTTAAATTATAATATTTTGTATATATTGAGTTAAAGTATTACAATCAATTTTGCCTGTTTATTCCTCTTTTCTTTCGCTACTAGAAATTTAAAAATGACACCTATGTCTCACATGTGATTTCTATGGAAATTGCTGCTTTGGAGGACTGCTTCCCTTTTCAAAACTCGGGCTCCTCGGACTGCTTCCTCAGAAGACCAGAGGCCATGAAGGTTAGTAAGTCTGAAATGTTAAAAGAATTATTATTAGATTGTTTCCTATTTTAAATATCATATATATTATTCACAAATGAATGTAACGTTGTATACAAGGTTAAGTGTGTATAAATGAATGTCCCCTAGGCAAGGCTGGGTCCCAGCCCCAGAGAGGAAGCCCTCCCCGAAAACTGCTGTTGCCAAAACGCTGCCTCTTTCAGACACGCGTGGGAGCGTGTCACCTGTCACTCAGGGCCTCAGGGGGCGGGGCCTGATACCCTACCCAATCAGGGGCACCGGGGCGGGGACTGCCTAATCAGGCGCTCCGCTGGAAAACCCGAGGCGGCTTCCGGGTCTGCCCGGCCTTTGTCTCTAGTGTCCGCACGTGCGTGGCGCGGTCAGTAGCCGGCGCTTCTCCTTCGCTCCTGGGGGTTCAGGAGGCTCTGCCGCAGCCTGGGTCCTCCTGTGACCTGCGTGTACTGGCGGATTCGCAGGGAGGATGTCGGGACACCCCGGAAGCTGGGAAATGGTGAGTTGCGCCGCCTGGGGTCTGGAGAAGGGAAGGGGCTGTGGCGGCCCCCGGCCCCGGGCTCCCAGCGGTCGGCTCCCGAGGGAGGACCCGGGTCCCTGCTGGCGCGGCGCGGCCCTCGGTCCTTTCTGGCGCCCGGCAGGGCTGGGCGGGCAGCGGCACCCCGGGCTCCCTTCCCATCTCTGCATGGCGACTTCTGTCCTGCCCGAATCCGCTGCCTCTCCAGCCCGGCACCCGCAGCCCCGTTTCCCCGGGATCCTGCAGTGAGACCCGAGGGTCCTCAGGGGAGAGGCCCAGCGCGGGGTGCGAACTCGCGCCTGCGAGGATCTGTGGCCACTGGCGTTTGCAGTCCCTCTTTAATCCTGTTGAAAATTAAACTGAGGTTTAATTAAAGCGTTGCAGAGTTTGAGCAAACAGCGATTCATGAGTAGGGGAGCACCCAGCCACGGTTTTTGGTTTGTGGGCCACCGGACGGTCTTGATGGAAAGGCTTTTCTAAAGTGTGTAAGGAAGCAAACCAAATTTATTTTTTCTTTTAATGATTGGGCGGGTTGGGGGGGGGGTCTCTCTGTGTTGCCCAGGCTGGTCTTGAACTCCTGGTCTCAGCCTCCCAAAGTGCTAGGATTACCCTGCCCAGCCCAAAGCGATCCCAATGTAATAATTGATTGGTTGTAATTATGTAGTTCTGTTATTCGGATTATTTCGGTGGATGGTTCCCGGTTATGTAATCAGAGGTAAATTGATGATTTGGAGTTGGTTAAGTTTTGGTTCCCTTCAAGTGACTTTACAACGAAGGCATGAAGTTCCTTTAGGTTTTCTCGGTGAGGAACTCAGGGCACCTTAGTCACTTTAAGGGAAGAGACCACCCCTCATACTGTCTTATGCCCAGTTTCTGCCTCCAAAGAAAGAAGAAGTAAAAACTAAAAGGCAGAAATGAAATCCACGGGCGGCGCCCTGGGCCTGGTTAAAGACCGACCCCTGACCTAACCGGTTATGTTATCTATAGATTCCAGACATTGTATGGACAAGCGTTGTGAAAATCTCTGTCCTGTTCTGTTCTGTTCTGATTACCGGTGCAGCAGCCCCCAGTCACGTACCCCCTGCTTGCTCAATCCATCATGACCCTCTCACGCGGACCCCCTTAGAGTTGTGAGCCCTTAAAAGGGACAGGAATTGCTCACTCGGGGAGCTGGGTGAGTCTTGCCAAAGCTCCCGTCGGAATAAAGCCCTTCCTTCTTTAACTCGGTGTCTGAGGGGTTTTGTCTGCAGCTTGTCCTGCTACAACTTCAGTCTAATTTCTTCCTGTTTAATTATTTCCACAGGGGTACTGGTTTCCCCTGCATTTTCCAAATGTATGGCAAGCAGGGTCTCAAATCCATGACCGTATTCCCCAGCCTCTCTTCTAGAACTTGAGTAAAATTCTAAATTTCCAGTTTCTTCCTCATACTCTCAAACTCCAACTTCCCCTCTCCAATTTACAACATTATTAACTATTTGTTCTTTATTGTGCATTTGAACCAGATGCAGTATTTTAATGGTTTATCATGTTTTCACTGAGCAGTGAGGAGCTGTTCCTGAACATTTCACATGAAAACAGAATAATCACCTGATCTAGTCCACTAGAAAAAATTCTTTGTGCCTCTCCTCCTTTTGTCTTCCCTAGGCACACACACTTTACCAGAAGGTCTTTGGGTGGAGGTTTCCCTTTGGAACCTTGACGTGGCGATGTGTCCTCAGCCGCCGTCCTGTCTTTTCTGGGTCCTGGGTTCAAAAACTGTTTGAGGATGACTAATGTGCCCACACTGGCCATGTCTCTTGGAGTGTCATAAATAGTGAATGTCAGCCGTTGGGTCCTCTTCTCCCAGAAGACAAGGTGAGGTTTAGGGGTAGAGCCTCTCAGAGGAACAGCTGGATGGCATGAATCCCCTGGAACTGAGAGGAGTCTCCTGGGATACTCTTCTATACTCTTCCTCTAAAAAGCTAATCCAGTGGGTCTTAGATTTTTTTTTTCTCTCACCCCTGTTATCACTCCTTAGAGACAAAATGCTGGTCAGGCAATCAGATACTGGTATTAATGGAAGAAAGAATTTCTGCCCTCTGAGTTCTCTCATACTTGTAAAGGGAGAACAGCTATTCCAAAGTGCAAGGAAACACCCTCCCCGCCCGCCAACCATCGCAGTGAGGCAGGAACCTAAAAAGCAAAATGCATTTGGGGCACAGTGGGGACACAGCGCAGCTTTTTGGGGGAGGGTGGGCATTGAGTACTGTCCTGACCAGGATGGGGTGGGAGGGCACAGTGGGGACACAGCGCAGCTTTTTGCGGGAGGATGGGCATTAAGTACTTCCCTGAGCAGGATGGGGTGGGAGGATTCAGGTGATGAGATGGTCTGACTTGACCCTTGAGTCAGCCATGTCCGTGTCAGTCAGTACTGCTACTCCTTGTGTTTGTCACCTTGAAAATATTTGTTCACTTATTTTAACTTCAGTTTTTCACTGATTGAAAAATACATTTTATCAGTACAGCTTGAGAGAGAAGAAAATATTTTCAAAAGGCCAAGAAAGAGGTGTATATCAGAAAAATATTACATATCTAGTCATATATTTCATTTGTTAAAAATTCTTAAATGCCTTTTATCTTCCCCAGAGGGAGCGTAGTAAGATTCACAGGTTTGTTCTTTTCTAGGGGATAGTTTCAACCCCAATTCCAGGGCTTAGCTTTGGGAATGCTACCAGGGAAAAATAGGGACACTGTCTTCCATTGTTGCTGCAGAAAAATACGTTTTCACAAGAAAGTATAGTAGATAAATTAGTGAATAACACTCACTAAAGCATCAGTTCCACCTTTGTGCCCAGCGGAGAGTTTGTGACAGTGGATGACTCTGTTTCCTGTTACCTGGATGTCCAAGTTAATGGTAAATCTGTGGGTGGGGACTTGGCATTTTTAGATGTGTTAACATAGAAATAATTTCTTTATGAAATAATTTGTTATCATGGAAATAATTAAGTGACTTGTTTATTGTGTGAAATAAATACTTCTGCTTTTCCTGTTGAGGTATAAAATGTAAGTGCCTTACAATTTTATTCCTTCCAACAAACATAAAAACTGAGTTTGAGTGATTTTGCTGGACTCTTCAAACACTGAGGATTTTTTCATCTAAAACAATGTGGGGCCGGGCGCGGTGGCCCACGTCTGTAATCCCAGCACTTTGGGAAGCCGAGGTGGGGGAATCACTTGTCAAGAGTTGGAGACCAGCCTGACCAACGTGATGAAACCCCGTGTCTCCTAAAAATACAAAAATGAGCCAGGTGTGATGGTGCACACCTGTAATCCCAGCTACTTGGGGGGCGGAGGCAGGAGAATCACTTGAACCTGGAAGGCAGAGGTTGCAGTGAGCAGAGATCATGGCACTGCACTCCAGCCTGGGTGACAGAGAAAGACTCCGTCTGAAAAAATAAAATATAAATAAAATGTGGGCTGGATGTGGTGACTCATGCCTGTAATCCTACCCCTTTGGGAGGCTGAAGCAAGAGGATCACTTGAGCCCAGGAGTTTGAGACTGGCCTAGGCAACATAGCAAGATTCTGTCTCTACAAAAAATAGAAAAAACGCCACGTTTGGTGGCACATGCCTGTAGTCCCAGCTACTTGGAAGGCTGAGGTGGGAGGATTGCTTGGGTCCAGGAGGCTGAGGTTGCAGTGAACCATGATTGCACCACTGCAATCCAGTCTGGGTGATATTGAAACCCTGTCTCAAGAATAATATAATAATAAAGAATAATAACAATTCTTTTAAATCATAATCATTGTTTTTAAATCATCATATACATATTGATATATTAACGTAACAGTATTATTAAATATAATTATTATTATGGTTTAAAAAATGAATAACCTTGACTGGGAGAGCAGAAACTTGAGCTTAGTGACTTACAGCTAAGGCCAATCTTGAGCCTGTAGGAGGAGGCTATTGAAGAGCCTGTTCGTTCTTCCTGGGGAGCCTGTCCTGCTCACACCAACCATGAAAGGAGCCCTTTATACTAACAGAAGCTACAAGGCCCTGGAGAGCTGAGGATCCACAGGCAGATGTGGCTGCTCTTGGGATAGGAGGAGGGTTGTGATGCCCTTTCTAAGGGTATAATTGTTACTGTCCTGGGACTGTTGCAGTAAAATTCTATATTTCCGGTTCCTTCCCCACACTCTCAAACTCCAGCTTCCCTTCTCCTATTTACACCATTATTAACTTATTACTTATCAAATAATTTCAAATTTAGGTTAAAAGTAACTTTAAAGGAATATTGCGATATGGAAAAGGATCAAATATAAGACCTGTAAGCATCTCAAAGGTTAGACAGAAGAGGGCTTTCTTTCATAGGGAGGAGCGAACATGATTAGAAAGGAGTTGGGAGGGAGACAGCAGGATGGAGGTGGCAAAATCAGATCCTAGATCAGAGACTGTTTCACCCTGAAGTCAGCCTATTCTTAGGAAGGATGTAAAGAGGGGTTATATGTTGACTGAGGCTAAGTAAGAGTCAGAGTTTGGGGGTCTGGAGGTAGGAGAGAAAGTTAAGCAAAGTTTGGATAACAGGTATTTTGTTCTGACTACTGAAGAGAAAAATGTTCATCTAATTGTTTATGAGGCCAAAAAAAAAAGAATTTGCGGAGTTTGTGTCTGGCTTTGTGAGAGGTAAAAAAGAAAGCATCATCTAAGTCACAATGAAAAGGATGTTTGTTTGCAGTAAGCTGCTCTTGATACATGGAAATGATAGCGGATTTCTTTAATCACAGCTGTTCACCAGGGTTACCCACCCACCCTACCTTTCCCTGCCTCTTTTGCTCACCCTATACATTTTTTCCCTTTGACTGTTTCTGAGTTGTGTCCTTTATAATAAACTGTAAATATAAATAAAGTGATCTGCTGAGTTCTGTGAGTAGTTCTGTCCATTTATTAAACTTGAGGAGGGGGTTATGGAAGTCTGTAGTTCATAGTAGCTCAGAAGTCCA